CCGCCGGCGGCGCCGGGAGCGGCCTCCTGCCCGGGCAGGGAGGGCTATCCGCGCTGGCGGTGGCCCTGGAAGCAGGCGGAGAGAGGAGAACGGTGAAATCGCTAAGAAACGCCGTCTTCGGGGAAGGAGTGGTGTGTAGAGGGAGAGGGAAGAGAACGTATGCCTCCTAAACTGTATGGGTAGTCTGTACATGTGTATATATATGCGTAGGTAAAGCTTCCAGTTATATATATGACAAGCAAGACCTGGTTTCATTAACACAAAGATGATAGGGCTTAAATGCGAGAAAAACATCGTAACTAAACTTATTTAAGCGTTGGACTTGTGGAGGTTTCAAACCCTGTTGGTGAGACAGCGGTCTGCCACGGGTGACTTGGCTGTGCTTCTGGCTCTCGAGCCTTGGCGTTAGTTTCTTTGTACCTCATTGATAACGCTTTTCAGTCATCACTATGTGAGGTTAAGAAGAGCGGAGTTAGAAGCTATTCAGCACTGTTTATCTCTGGTGGCATCTCTTCCTATTATGTCTACAGGTGAAATTGAAACATATGCATCTTTTTTCCCTGGGCTAACAGAAGATATATCAATATTTTTGGCAAAGCCCTTGCCTGTTCTGGGAAATGTAGGGCTTTTAGTGCATGGTAAAAAGTAGTGGAATAGTTCTAATCTGAAGGCAGTGAGATTGACGCTAGAAGAATGGGCAACCGCAACACGTTTCAGAGCCCAGTGCGTATTCAGATCTCAGCATCAAATCATAATTCCTGTATTTCAGCTTATTCTGTATGGCACAGCTGGTGATACACTGATAGCCCATCAATGGACTTAGGAGCTAAAGATGAAGAGGAAGAGAGTCTGCAGACAGCTTTCAAAAAGCTGAGAGTGGATGCAGCAGGGTAAGTGAGCAAGAAAAGTACCGTGTAATTTTTTGGTTTTTATTAAATACTTATATTTGTTTTCCGTTATTTTGAATCTCACAACAAATGTCATTTGGTCAAAGGTCTAATTCTCCTAGAGAGAATAAGCAGATCGTTATAGAAACACAGAAATGCAGTCGTTATAGCCATCTAATAGGCAATACAGTACTTTTTAATTGACTAATTTAGACACAATATCCAACAGAAATTACACAGGGGCTGTAGGAAAACATGAAACGACTTACCCAAAACAGCGTACCTCTTAAGAGCACTGTTGTGATAACGTTAGTCACCTTGTGCGATACAGAACTTGTTTGTCCGTTTCAAGCACATGCTGGTGTCTTCAGCCACGTTATTCCGCCTTTACTGTAGTGCAGGAACGCTTGCTCTGAAAGCACCTGAAGCGCAGTACCAACCATCTACTCCTTCATGGTATTCTAGATGGTCCAGTCTGGTTGGACGTTGTCAAGCTAAATATGACCGCTGATAATTTTTTATTTCAGAGGATATCATGGAGTAAAATATTTGCAGACATTATTCAAAAAAGTTATTCTGTAGCACACTGGTATATACATAGCATATATTATGAGCCTATTCCTTTAAAGTATGAGTTAATAAAATAATGCAGTGTAACAGCTCTGGGATAGTCCTAGAAGTCCTGAAATAAATTGCTTTTCCTTCCTGTTCATCTGGGAAATTTAGTAAGAAGTAAAGTAATAATCTTTCCTCTTCTGTTATTGTACCTCACCCACTTCTCTACTGACTCCTCAGCCTGATGCTGCGTGTTCCTGAGTTTGCATTTGAAATGCAGCAGGAGTCTAAGTTTTAACAATTACTGTCTGACGAGAACAATTGGAACATGAGTTTACATTCCTTTAATGTGTTCTCTTGGTACAAATAGAGCATGACATCAGCCACTGGACATTTTGGCTTTGTTTCATCCCACCTATCTTTAGACCCTTAACTGAGGTCAATAAAAAAGAGAGGTTAGATAAATCTCTGTAAGATCCTATTTCTAACCACTAGCTGTAGAGCAAGTCAAGGCTGAAAACTTAAGTGTCTTAGATAAGCATCTAAAGCTCTGAGGCTCAGTCTTTGAAACTTTGAAACCATATATTGAGGCAGTATCGTAATGTAGCATTTTCCTTTCTGCTCAGGTCCGTTGCAGCTCTCTCTGCAGGCGACGGGACAGTTCTGCGAACACCGATAAGAGCGGCTATGGATGGAGCTAAACAGCAGTCTACTTGCTCTAAAGAAACTTGGCATGGGTAAAACGCGTCATTAACTATGCTATGCTTGTGTTCCTGTTTTGTTTGAGACATTTAAAACTTCCTAATGACAAGTATCGTTAGTTAAGTGGTTCCCTCCTTTCTATCACAAAGCTTTACTATAGCCATTTGACACAATGTTTTTTAAGAGGCTTTCAACAAAGATTTTGACAAATTTGATATTGCTTCTTCCCTTAGAGAGAGTACCTAAAACTTTCTTTTCCACTGATTTCCTCAGAAGTCCTTCTCCAAGTTTTGTATCTTTGCATCCCCTTTTAACTTCCTTCATGGGGTGTTTTATTTCTGTATTGAAGTACCTGGATATTCAGTGCAGTTCTGCCAGCAGCTCTTAATTTATGTCCAGGTTTTGCACTACAGTTCAATCTGGGATGACGGTGGCAGAGACCAGAGCACCTTCAACAAAGTATCATTTCCTTAACGCAAAAGGCTTTGGGGAAAATATCTTTAAAATGGGGGTGTTGGTATGTATCTTCGCTTTGAGGGAAACCCACGTTTCTTCTGACTCCTCCACTGTTCCCATTAGGGATTTTAAGTGACCCATCATCTCTGATTTTTGTAAGGAGCAAAAAAATGTTTTGAAACATTTTTTAGCCTTATTTCAGAAGCTGTTGAGCTGTGGTGCAGATTTTGGAGTTACCTACTTGTTGACCTGTTATAACCCAACAGGTGCGTGAGAAAGCCTGCAAGAGGATCAGCAAGAATCCCACGTCGCAGACGTTCCAAATCTCCTGTCTTGCATCCACCCAAGTTCACGTATTGCGGTATGAAAGCCAACAACCAGCTGAAACACAAAACCCAGTCAGACACATCAAAGAGTAATGTCAGTTCAGACGTTTTTGTTACAGCAGAACACGGTACAAAGGACAGGCATGATTCTCAGTTTGAGGCCAGTGATGACAGAAGAGCCAGAACTGAATCTCTGGAAGCGTCCACAGCTGAAGAGCCATTGGAGAATTCAAGGGAGAGTTGCCCTGCTCTCTCTTCATCCTTTGAAACTAGCCTGGATTCTAGCCACACTTCAGATTTCCAGTCCTTATCCATGCTTAGCAATGGCAAGCAGTGCCCTTGTACGGACAAGAAATGCCAGTGCAAACAATGGCGAACCATGGAAGTGTACTCTTTCTCTGGCTTACGGAGTGTCCTGTCAGAATGCGAAAAGGCAGTCCTGGGAGTCCACTCTCAGTCTCTTCAAAGCAGAGCCCCTTGTGGAACGGCCTCTTCAGGTTCTCCTAGATCTTGTTCTGAGCAAGCTCGAGCCTTTGTGGATGATGTGACTATTGAAGATCTTTCAGGATACATGGAATACTACTTATATATTCCCAAGAAAATGTCTCATATGGCAGAAATGATGTATACTTGACTGAAAGCAATAGAGAATCATGAATCAGAGTTTGTGATAATGGTTGGGTTAAATGCCTTGTCAGTGCCATGGCTATTTTCACTGCTGTGTGTTTGATCAAATGTTTCTTTGCATCATACAGTTTAGTTTTCTAATAAAATGAAAAATGGAATATAGTTTCTGAGCTTAGTTCTAAAAAGAGTGCACTAAAGTCTCTGAATACCTTAACAAAAGCACTATAGATCAAATAAACTCCCTTTGTTTTTTGGTTTGTGCTGTGGATATTCAAGCTCTGTACGCTGTTTTCACTATATCTGGGAAGAAGAGCCTTTTAAGCTTTGTTCTGAGATTTTTCAGTGTGTGGAAGATTCATTCTTGAAGCATCCCAGTACTTAGAAATGTTTTATAGCTCCAGCTCTGTCTTACTCATCCTGCTCTAGGGAGAAAAATGAGAAGGCATTCAGTATTTTGGATAGGATGCATATCCTTTCCTTGAACACTGCCTGGCTTTTTCTTAGTTGGATCAAACTGTGAAAACTTCTTCCTCAGAAGTTTGCTAGGAGGTCGGTCAAGAGTGTGCTGGAGTGTGCTTGAACCCTTTCATACTCTAATTAACTCACTCTTGCACAGTTATATTTATCTACAGATAGTGAAGCTCATAGAAGCAAAAATATATGTTGTTATGCATGCTTTACAGATGGAGTAATTTAAGGGAGAGTGAAGCAGGCTAAGAGAGTTAAGAATAACAGTTCCTTTGGGCCGTGCAATCTCTCCAAAACCTGAGATTGTGAAGCTGTCTATACTGATTATTTGCGGGTATGTTTGCTGCACAGAGTAGGTTGGAAATGGGGTAAACGAGAAGTGTCTATCATACTGCCTGTGTGGTGTGGAAGTATAACGTTCCATCTGGTTGAAAATATTCAAATAAAACACTTTGTTGCTGAGACTTGCATTAATAAATGTTTGTCTAAACCTAGCATATGTAAAGTAAAGCCTCAATAATTTGACTTGCACTGATTTTTACCCAAGTTTTTTTTTTTTTTAAAACTAAAATGTGCATTCAGTATCAGCTATAAATGCATACTAATCATCAACTGTGTTTGAGTAGAATAGTGCAGTTTTTAACATTTCAACATCAGTGGTCAGCAAGCCAAGGAGTCACAAGCAGTTCTACCAAAATAGATAGTAGCAGGTGTAGACAGTTGACCTTCCTTTCTGTGCTGGGGAAGTCTCAGATATTCTAGATGATCCTCACTTAATCCTCACTCACTTTCTGTAGATTTTATTCTAATCATCCCTAAAATCTAGACTACAAATCCAGGAAGTACAGATTTAAAGATCAAAAAAAGTCCAGAATAATTAGCATGGGAATACAACTAAAACTGTTACTTTGCTCTTAAGTGTTGCCACTTTGTACACTTAGCGTGCAGTATGGCTTATCGCTGATTGCATTTAACTGATTACTAAATTTTATCTCACTTTACACATTTTCCCCCTACCTACCTTTATATTACAAAATAGGAAGAGTGATGTTGTTTAGATATTTCAATTACATGTTTAGAAAAGGAAAGCTGTTTAACGTTAATCATTACTCTTGAGCTTTGAGGGTCTTTTTTGGTCTTGTGATCTTGATTTTGGATAATGACAACAGCTATGTCATTATTTTACCTGTAATTTATTGATTACATTTTCCTTTTTACCTGTGAATTATCTTGTTCAAATATTCAGAATTTTGTATGTGAACTTATTTTTCCCTGTTTGGTTAGTGTTTTACTGTCCCATTCCCTTCTCCTTGCTCTTCTAGTGCTGTCCTGCATGTTCACACACAGACAGACAAGAGTTTTCCTCTCACTTGGTTGTGCTTTCCTCATTTTGTCCCCTCTTTCTCCCTTCAGCAAATGTGGTATAATGCGTACTTTGCTCTTAATCCTAAATATTCAGTACTAGTTATCTTTACTGCTGCTGTTTTTTCAAAGGATGTTTCTGCTTCAACAGAGAGTGTCTGCTTATGTTCCTGTTCACGTTTTATTTCTGTGCCCTCTTTCAAAATGCTTTAAGATGTTGTTGCTAAATGCTGTATTTCTCCCTTTTAAACTCTTTGAAATTACCTCTGCATCTCAGTGAATGTTAACCTAGAACGGGCACTTTTGAAGGTGAGGCATATTTCTTTAGAGTGCACAAATACAGTTCTTTAAAACTAGTATTGGTTGTCTGTGGGGGGGAACCGAAAAAATGCTCCCCTTTGCAGCAGGAGCACTAGCAAGTGGCACAGCTAGGCTCTTCCCTGGAAGTGTGGGATGTCTGACTGACTCGAGGTCACCTTGATGCAGTTGTTTCTGCTGTGGAATACAGTGCTGCTTCTATTTAATAAAGCATGTACAAAAACCCAGAAGTGTCTAGACCTCAAGCTGGTGTTACATAAAACTAGTAGTGAACTCAGACATTGCAAGTGCCTGAGACAGTTTTCAGCTCTGGAGCAGGTATCACACTACAACATACTTCAGGCCTGATGTCTCTGGTGAAAACAGGGGAATTTAGCAGATAATGGAAGTTAAACTAGTCCAAGATATATCCCACAGTTGAGGGCTGAGAACTGAACTCAATTAAATTGCCACGTGGCCAAGAGGGGAGGAAATAGTACGAGAAAAGGTTCTCCTGCGACATTTTTCAGTGTCCTGTGCGAGAGACAGGTAAGGGGAAGGGTGGGGGAGGGAGACGGAAGAGACCAAAACTCAGTAGTTTCCTGTTCTGTTAGGATTGCCTTGTCTGCTGGTGATTAAGCATGTCCAGTGCTGTGCTGAATAGAGGAAGGGCAGGTGTCTGGGGTTCTGGATTACTACAGTCATACTTGTACCAAATTTATTGAAATACTGCTGCTAACACTTTCATTGCTCAAACCACCTCCTGTTGGGGAAAAGCCAAGTTCTACGTGAGAGGACCCAATCTCAAACTTCGTTTCCTTTAACGCCTTCCTAACGTAGCTCCTATACTCGGCTTCTTTAATAACTCAGTAGCTCCTGCTTTCTGCCTGACTGATGCCTCAAGCCTCAAGCTTCGTTAGCAAACAGCATCTTCTCTGGGAATGCCTGCATAACACAATCAGCCTGGGCAATTAGCACCAGCTCTCAGCCTCAGGCTTGGCTCCGTATAAGCACCGCTGGGCAAAGCCCTGCCAGCGTTACTGATCCCATGCCCTTTCTGCATGCACAAGCCAAGGGATTTTTTTCTGGGCAGAGATGCTCTAGAACTTGCTCCCAGTCAATCTACAAAAGAATATGTCTAAAATTTGAGAGGAAATTTTTCTAAGAAAGCATTGGCAGGTTAACAGTAAGTACCCCCACGACTGTCCTCGGTGCAGATTCCACCGAGAGCTGGTTGGTCCCGGGGAACCAGCCTACGTCTCTAGCCACGACGTGGCTAGGCTGGCTGAGCTCCTCCCAGCTCAGAAGATTTCTGTGCCAGGAGGTAGGACTGAGCTGACAGTGGAGTAATAACTTCAGGGAGTAAAACACATGCATAACTGTACTTCCCACTGCACCACAAGGGAAAGGCTCCCCTGGTAAAACCTGAGATGTCTACCCTGAGAGCTATAGCACCCCACTGGCTGGTGGTGACTAGGCAAGTGATAAGCTCTGGGTTCTTGCTTCCCCTTCTTTTTTTTGTTTTGCTCCAGTTTTTAAATCCCTCATGACAGCTCTGTTCTTTGCCATTCCACTACATACAGTTGAAAATAATGACTGTATAACGTAGATAAAACCAGCAGCTATTCTTTGCCATGCCTGTCTGCTTCCATACTGCAGGCCAAGAGAGACCTGGGAACATTTTGTACAGGAGAGACCTGATGCCAACTGAAGCCTGCAAGTATTTTCCATCTCACGGTACCTCCGTACTTCCTACGTCAGCAGAACCAGGATGTTCTTTTTTTAGTATGAAACCTGCCCCTCACCCCCAACATTTTACAACATTTTACTTGATCAGTAGTTTCAGGAATAGTCCAATAGGCCAAGTGAAGCGTGATGCAGAAGAGCACCCTGGATCAGTGAATTTATTTCGCTCCTTACAGAAGCTGAACGGAGTCCTTACCTAAGCATTACATTGGCAGACACTGACTCAGGCCACCTGGGAAAAACAATGCAGCTGAACTCACAACCTAAACCCTCCCTGCTCCCTGCTGTGCTAAATATAGGACATGTTTCTGCGCCTGGGAAGTCCTAGAATCGACTCTTTTCCTCTTCTTTCCTCCCCTCCTTAAAACTTGCAGCAAATCTGACACAAGACGCATCACATAGCGAGTTCGCAAGAAATCAGTGCCCACAATGCTTTCCCTGGTTCACGCCTTCCACCGAGGCTTTGCCAAACGCCAGCAGCTTCAGCGGTGCCGCGTCCCGCGAGGCAGCTCAGCGTTGGCCCCTTTCACGGATGGGAAGGCCGGACCCGTTCTCAAGGTCGCGCAATGTCAGGGACGAGCTGGAGGAGGCCCGCACTCATCCTGCCCCCCAAGCCTTTGCTCAGCTTAGTAAGCAGAAACCCAGCTAAGTGCTAAACAAATAAGTGCTTCCAGAGGAGGCGAATGCCTGCAGGATACAGAAGCATAAGGAGACTGTCATTTTTTTTTAATTCCCGACTGCGCAGCATTAATTCATCACGACATTTGCCGCTAGATGGAGCTTTCTGGACAGCGCTCCACAGAAGGGAGCGTTTGCTGTTTATTCCAAGCTGTTCCTTTGCTTTTCCAAACCCAAAGCACTGGCCTCAGTTAACGGTGCCTCTTTCCAGTGAAAAGAGCCTGGAAAGAAAAGATGCTTCCTGGATAGCAAACACTCGTCTGTGGCGTGACCGTCTGCCCCCCCGTCCCCGTCCTCGTCCCTTCCGAGTGTCCTTGGATGAAGAGCAGCTCTGTCTCCCCGTGCGAGCGGCTCCTGCAAACCCTCTCCCCGGAGTGTTTGGCACATGC